CTGTGGAATAATGTCCAGGGTGGGAGAAAGAACTCTTGTCTGTTGGAGGTAGGTGTGAATGTTGCAATTGGCCACCTTGATTAGCATTTAATGGCCTAGTTCTTTCACCCTCCTTGGACATTCCACAGATATACAGCCTGAGAAGCTTACAGCAGTGGTTCTCAACCTTCCTAATGCCGCAAACCCTTAATACAGTTCCTCCTGTTGTGGTGACCCCCAACCATAACATTATTTTCGTTGCTACTACATAATTATAATTTTGCTGCTGTAAGTAATCGTATTGTAAGTATCTGATATGCAGGATATATTTTCATTCACTGGACCAAATTTGGGACAAATACCCAATACGCTCAAATTTGATTACTGGTGGGAGGATTGATTTTGTCATTTGGGAGTTGTAGTTGCTGGGATTTATAGTTCACTTACAATCAAAGAACATTCTGAACTCCACCAACAATTGAATTGATCCAAACTTGGCACACAGAACTCCCATGGCCAACAGAAAATACAGGAAGTGGTTGGTGGGCACTGACCTTGAGTTGTGTGGAGTTGTAGTTCACCATCATCCATAGAGCACTGTGGACTCAAACAATGATGGATCTGGACCAAGCTTGGCATGAATGCTCACTATCCCCAAATGCAAACACGGGTGGATTTTGGGGCAAATAGACTTTGACATTTGGGAGTTATAGCTGCTGGGATTTATAGTTAACCTACAATCAAAGAGCATTTTGTATCCCACCAACAACAAAATTGAGCCAAACTTCCCACACAGAACCCCCATGACCAACAGAAAATACTGTGGTTTCTGATGGTCTTTGGCGACCCCTCTGACACCCCCTCATGAGGTCCCGACCCCCAGGTTGAGAAACGCTGGCTTACAGCAACCCAGTGACTCTGACCATGAAAGCCTTTGACAATACATCTTTGGAAAAGTTGCTTTGCATTCCACATAGAAATAAAGTACAAGAATACATTATAGTTTCAGAGCTATAGGCTTTTAGGTGACAAGCAATTAGCATATCACATTAACACACTTTTCAGGAAGCAAATGCATTTATTTAAAAACACGAGGACAGTTTGTACAGTTCAATCAATTCATTGATAACTACCCCCCCCCTTTCAAACTTTAACACATGGAGGCAGGTGAAATCTAATACCAAGTAGTGTTTGGTATTTTACACATTGTATATAGAAAAATATTTAATATTAACTATCCCTTTAGCTCTACATGTGTGTGCCTGTGAGTAGTGTTTCCTAAAGCTATCTGTCACAAGGTTTTCACTGAAAAGGAATACAGAAAAGTGTTTTGTCACTGCCTTGCTTTAAAACATAGACTGCAGCAATGGTTTTTCTTGGCGGCCTCATATCAAAGAACTAACCAGGTCTGACCCTGTTTAGCTTCCAGGATTATTTGAAATCTGGTGTCTTAAGTGTACTTAACTATATTTTCTCTTTAATTACATACCCCAACATCCGGTTTTGTATCTGTCCATTCACAAGCCTTGTGTTGTCACTACTTCTAACTTCTTTTCGAATTTTCCTTCCTGGACAAACTTTCACAGGCAAAATTCACTGGTGTTCAATAGGCACATGTTTTAACAGCAATATATACGGCAATACATGTCTTTAAGAAGAGCAGAAGTCACTCAAAACACACTGCACTTGTTGCAAACTGCACAATCAAAAGGCCATTGCTGTTTCTGTTTGATTTGTTGAGAAAAACACCCAATGTATAAGTCCAATTTAGGGCATCAAGCAATCTAAAGAGTCATCAGAGCAGTGACAACTTTGAAAAAGGGCTGCCTGCCAACTGCATCACTGTTGACACCAGCAATGTGACAGTGAATTGATATTGCTGGACTTTGAATGTTTTCATTGGCACTAGTTTTATAAAAGGCTACTAAACAGGTCTGCGTCACCAGCTGCATTTGAGTGCAGAAGCCAAAAAAATGCCAATTGTTTCAAACAATAACAGTAATATTTTGCAGAGTCAGGCACCATGAAGTCCAGCAATTATAGCAGCATTGATACTGCTTTTATAATGGAAATTGACCCATTTGCAGTCTTCACTTTAGCATCCCATACACTTTAGTACATCTGTCAGAGCACGAAGGGAAATAAGCCTCCTCTTCATTATGTAGGGTGAACATATTTTTTTAAGGTGGACACTACCATGATGATTTCTGTGGCAAATACTAACAACTTATCTATAAAAAGTTGTTAGAATTGTGTAAAAGTGGCTAGGATGTCCACTTTTACACAGACAAGATCCTGCCTCCACAAACAGCTATAGCTCCCGGTACTCAGGAGACAGCAATAGCCCTCCTTCCAATGACATTGCAGGTTATAGAGAGTACCATGAACATGTCCAGGAGTTGTGCCAATGTCCTCCACAAACACCATACTGCCCACCAACCAAGTGAAGGCTTTCATACAGGGACAATTCCAATGAAGATTTTATGTTTTTCCTCCACCACAGACATCCCAGTGTTTCTGACCCTCTCCACTAGTGTGGAATTTGCATGACCCCACCCACTAATAATAATAATAATCCTTTATTTATACCCCGCTAACATCTCCCGAAGGACTCGGTGCAGCTTACAAGAGGCCAAGGCCCAATACATCAGTAAAAGAACAGCATAACAAACACAACAATAAATAAACTGATAAAACAAAACAATAAACATTAAAACAATAGCAATAACCATTAGAAAATAACACCATGACACATTTAAAAACTAAGGCCGGGCCAAATATAATGATTAAAATTTGCTTCATTCAAAAGCAATCTCTTGTCTGAACTTATCCCCCTCTATGACCCACCTCGGAAGTTAAGATAGTCAGGGGAGGCCCTACTCTCGGTCCCACCCTCCTCGCAAGCACAACTGGTGAGGAAAGGACAGAGCCTTCTCAGTGGTGGCCCCTCACCTAGGGAACTCCCTCCCCAGTTAAATTAGATCTGCCTCATGTCTCCTGACCTTCAGGAAAAAAACTGAAAACATGACTCTGGAATCAGGCTTTCTGGCAGTAACAAGAGTAGTGCAATATGAGACTGCAAATTAATATGATGATAACTTGGACCGGCCCTGGAATACAATTTGGATCATGTGATTTTAATTGATGTTTTAATGCTATGTTTTTAACGGATTTGGTTTTAACATTTTTGTTTATTTAGGTAAAGGACATTGTCTTGTCATGTCTCACTCTAGGGGTTGGTGTTCATCTCCATTTCTAAGTTGAAGAGCCAGTGTTGTCCTTAGACACCTCCAAGCTCATATAGCCAGCATGATTGCACGGAGTACCGTTACCTTCCAGCCAGAGCAATACCTATTGATCTACTCACATTTGCATGTTTTTGAACTGCTAGGTTAGCAGAAATTGGGGCTGACAGCAGAAGCTCATGCCCCTCCCTGGATTCAAACCTGCAACCTTTCGGTCAGCAAGTTCAGCAGCTCAGCGCTTTAACTCATTGCACCAAGGGGGCTCCCTTTTGTTTATTTATTGATGTATTAATATATGGCATTGAATTGTTGCCTTTGTAAGGTGCCCTGAGTCCCCTTCGGGGTTGAGAATGACAGGATATAAATGCGGCAAATAAATAAATAAATAAATAAAAGCACACACCAATCCCAAAAAGCAACATTAAAATGTCAGTGGTGGCTATATTTTCAATTTTAGGAACTTGTAGAGGGAGACTCAAAAATCCAAGAGTGCATTACTATATGAAGTAAGCTACAAGGGAGTAGCACTAGCAGCATTACATATAGTAAGCCCGCAGTGGGTTAAACCCCTGTGCCGGCAGGACTGAAGATCGACAGGTCACAGGTTCGAATCCGGGGAGAGGCGGATGAGCTCCCTCTATCAGCTCCAGCTCCCCATGCAGGGACATGAGAGAAGCCTCCCACAAGGATGATAAAACATCAAAAAATCTATCCGGGCGTCCCCTGGGCAACGTCCTTACAGATGGCCAATTCTCTCACACCACAAGCAACCAGAAGAGACAAAGTTGAAGTACTTTGGCCACATCATGAGGAGACAGCAAAGCTTAGAGAAGAAAATTATGCTGGGGAAAGTAGAAGGTAAAAGGAAGAGGGGCCGACCAAGGGCAAGATGGATGGATGGCATCCTTGAAGTGACTGGACTGACCTTGAAGGAGCTGGGGGTGGTGACGGCCGACAGGGAGCTCTGGCGTGGGCTGGTCCATGAGGTCACGAAGAGTTGGAGACGACTGAACGAATGAACAACAACAGAAGCGACTTGCAGTTTCTCAAGTCGCTCCTGACATGACAAATTTTTTTTTACATATAGTGGCACTAACACAACTGTGCAATCATCTTTTCAACTAAGCCCACTAGGTCACCTCATGCCCAAAGTTAACCACCTTTTCTTATTTTTCTGTGCTATTAAATTAAATTAATGTTTTGCACTAATGTCCTCTGCTTTTTATTAATATAATTTTCTGCTCTGACAATGGATTTGTCTAACTTCAAATTGGCTTCATTCTAGTGTTCTGTTGGAGGGATATTTCCAAAATATTGTGCTTATCTGTTATAGTAATAAAAAAAGATACAAAAATAGGTGGAAATACAGTTCCATTATGAAACTGAATGAAAGCAAATCATGCCCCAATGCAAAAAAAAGGGTGGAGGATTGGCAAATGAGCGCAACTAAAATGTGCATATCCTTGTTAATAACACTAATTTCCCCTTTCCCTTTTAACTTACTTTCTATCTATATACGGAGCAACCAATGTCATGTGAATGTTTATTATCAGATGCTGAATCTCTCCCCAGGCACAGTTCCTTACCAACCCATTACTAATGTACGCAATGTCCTTTCCAATGATCATCATCAGAATTATAGAACAGACAGTACTGCACTCATATGGTGAAGGCTGATTATGGACAAAATTGTCTCAGAAAAGTAAATCTTATAACATTACGCAGTTCAATAAGTTGCCACACAAGTCTCCGAAAAGAATATCCACAACTCCTAACCTTGTTTGTATCTTGCCGGGAGTTCAGCCCTTCTTGTTCTTCGTGTTGGTTCAGGCTGCCACTCTGCCTCCCATTTCTATACCCAGGACTGGGTATAACAAACTCTTTTCCTAGATCGATATCTTTCATCTTCTCCTTTTGTAAACGCCAGGGTTAATACACGTTATTTGCCACTCAAGACTCTGGGGAGGAAAAAGAGACAAAGCAATCTTGCATGAGAACTGTTGCTCTCCGTGGCTTCTTAAAGTATGTCTTTAAATAGGATTAGATTACAGTTTGGAAATCCTTACGAAATATGGCCAGGCTACTGTACTTCTTCTCACACAAGCAGGACAGATATGGTTTCAGCTGAAGTCCTGCATCAGTGACCCCAGGTGATCTCAAAGGAAAGAGAAATGTACATCCAGTTCTATAATTGCGACATGTTTTGAGCAGTGTTTGAATCTTTACTAATGCAAACCCTGACCATTCTCTCAGCAAATACAATACTTAATTATGAAAAAAAAGGACTGTACAAGCAACTAATTGGGAAAGATACTTCAAACTGCTGAATTACAGTACAAATGTGAGAAGAAAACCACGAGATTTAATAACGCAGATAAGCCAACAGCATTTATTGGACCAGTTCTATTGAGAACTACAAAACTACAGAATCAACTTTGGTTCTCCCCTAATGAAGCTAACCAAATAAGAGCAGTCCCAAGAAACAGGTGGTTAACTTATAAAGAAATACTGAAAAAGGAAGGGCAAGAGACAACGATAAAAACCCAGGAGGAGCTAAAAGCTTACGATCCATCTCTCTCCTGGTTCCAGTATTACCAAATAAAGGAGAACTATAAAATAGACAATAAAGTAGGTTTTGAAAAAGACGAAACCTTCTGGGACAATATACCAAAAACTGACATGAAAATAATTAAGAAAATTTATCAACAGCTCCTCAGTTGGCTAACGGTGAAAGACCAGGTAAAAGAAAACATGATAAAATGGGCTAGAGATTTAGGTCGATCAATCAGCTTTGCTGAATGGGAACAGATCTGGACAACGAAGTTAAAATATACATATTCATCAGACTTTAAAGAAAACTGGTACAAACTATTGTAACCCCAGTACAACTATCGAAAATTAGTAAGGAAAGATATGATGGGAAATGCTGGAAATGCAGGAAAGATAAAGGCGACTTCATCCACATGTGACTAGTCATTAGTCACATTCACGTTAGCTACACATAGATAAAACTGGACACAATCAAACTATCACCATTTTTGCAGATTTTTTCAATAGCTGTAACATGCCACAGGAGTTGGTACAAGTACTTCCAGACATGATGACTCTGAATAATCAGCATTCAAAACAAAACTATAGATGTATTGTCAAAAGCTTTCATGGACAGAAAGGAAGAAACCATGAAAATGAACCCAATCTGACTACCAGCATTTAAAAAAAAAACCTCTAAAATCATAACAGTAAATAAAGAACAACACTCAAAAACTGGGGAATTCCAGACAAGAAACAAAAAAGGCCAGCTAATCACCTCCCAACAGAGGATTCCCCCAGGTAGTAAGAAGCCAGACCTTGAATTGATAGGCCATTAAATGCTAACCAAGGTGGCCAATTGAAACATGTGGACAATAGAAAGGAAGAAACCATGAAAATGAACAAAAAATGAACAAAAAAACTCAATAATAATAATAATAATACTTTATTTATACCCCGCCACCATCTCCCCAAGGGACTCGAAGCGGCTTACATGAGGCCAAGCCCAACAACACATCAATAAAACAAGAAAGCAATAAACAAAACAATACAATGCAATAAATTAAAATAAATCACATATATAAGCAATAAACAATAACACACAAGGATTTAAAACCTATGGCTGGGCCAAATGTAATAGTTTAAAATTATAACAATCAATAAAGAACAACACTCAAACATAGGGCAATTCCGGGCAAGAAACAATCCGGGACAGCTAATCACCTCTCAACAAACAATTCCCCCCAGGCAGTAACAAGCCACACCTAAAAACTGTCAGGCCATCAAATGCTAATCAAGGTGGCCAATTGAAACATACCCCTACCTCCAGCAGACAAGAGTTCTTTCTCTCACCCTGGACTTTCCACAAATATATAAACCCGATTTCCTAGTTTCCAACAGACCTCACAACCTCTGAGTATACCTGCCATAGATGCAGGCGAAACGTCAGGAGAGAATGCTTTTGGAACATGGCCAAACAGCCTCATTTAAGCCGCACCGAGTTCCTTGGGGAGATGGTAGCGGGGTATAAATAAAGTATTATTAGTATTATTATTAGTATTATTATTAGTTATTATGTGTCAGGCTGCCTTTCCCTGGATGTCACTATTTTAATATTGGACATAAGGGCTCCGATTTGCAAGATTTTATCCACCCTGGAAAATTCATTTTTTTAATCAAACATCACAGCAATAAATCACCTTGCTATAAATCTCCCCCAGTGTCATTGTATTTATGCCTCTAGGATATTTAAGAGAGGCCTTGGGAATTTTTTTTAACACATCATTGCCTTCGCCACAGGGAACAGAGAACTAACAAAACAACTTCAGACAGCGTGACTCAGCAAATTTTGCCTGCTATCACAATGAGTCATAATCTCTTTCTGCAAACGGAAAAATCCATAGTTAGAAAAGCCATTTTCCTCAGATGGAAGAAACCACACCAGCTTCCCCTTTCATTGGCAACTCAAGGGGGTTTGAAGCTCTGTCCACACTGACTCCCCCCTCCTCACAAATTCACACAACAAACCTCGCTGGCATCACTATTTGTGTTGTTGGTCAGAGAGCTATTCTGCATCTTCTCATTGCTGCCAATATATTAAAGGTTCATTCATTACCTTGTTTGCAGCACCCTCTGTGGGATCAATTTGTAAACAACACTGAACAGTTCCTATTTTAAACCCACTTTTAAACAAATAATTTCAGAACCAGAACCACCGGCTAAATCCACTTTGTGTGTGTGTCTTCTAGTCATTTGTTGACCTAAGGAGGCCCTTCGAATTTCATATGGTATTTTTTAGGTAAGGAGTATTCAGAGGTGGTTTTGCTAGCTGTTGAATATAAGGTAAAGGTTTCCCCTGACATTAAGTCTAATCGTGTCCGATTCTGGAGGTGGTGCTCATCTCCATTTCTAAGCTAAAGATGCCTCATCCAACTCTATGAGACCTTAAGGGCCATCCAGTCCAACCCCATTCTGCCAAGAAGCAGGAAAATTGCATTCAAGGCACCCCTGACAGATGGCCATCCAGCCTCTGTTTAAAAGCTTCCAAAGAAGGAGCCTCCACCACACTCCGGGGCAGAGAGTTCCACTGCTGAACGGCTCTCACAGTCAGGAAGTTCTTCCTCATGTTCAGATGGAATCGCCTTTCTTGTAGTTTGAAGCCATTGTTCCGCGTCCTAGTCTCCAGGGCAGCAGAAAACAAGCTTGCTCCCTCCTCTCTATGACTTCCCACCACATATTTATACATGGATATCATGTCTCCTCTCAGCCTTCTCTTCTGCAGGCTAAACATGCCCAGATCTTTAAGCCACTCCTCATAGGGCTTGTTCTCCAGACCCTTGAACATTTTAGTCACCCTCCGCTGGATGCATTCCAGCTTGTCAAATATTATTATTATTATTACCTTTATTTGTACCCCGCTAACATCTCCCGAAGGACTCGGTGCGGCTTACAAAGGCCAGGGCCCTCAATAAAACAACAGCATAAATAATCAATACAAAACAGTTAAAAAGCTCAAAACAGAAAATACACAATAAGCAATAATAACATATCACAACATACAGCATTTAAAAACCTACCGGGCCAAATGTAATAATTCAAATTTAAAATCAAAAGGTGCTGGGCATGAACAAGGTAATACAAATTAAAATAGGGTTTTCAGAGAAAGATGAGGGCAGGCAGGCAACCCTAAATCAATATTAAAGTGCATTTGAGGACATATTGCTAAGAGTTTCCTTATTCTGGGAAGGCACACTGGAACAACCACGTTTTCAGGCTCCCTCCTAAAGACTGCCAGCGTTGGGGCATGTCTGATGTCCCTGGGGAATGAGCTCCAGAGTGGAGGGGCCACCACCGAGAAGGCTATGATGGCTATCATGTCTCCTCTCAGCCTTCTCTTCTTCAGGCTAAACATGCCCAGCTCCTTAAGCCGCTCCTCATAGGGCTTGTTCTCCAGACCCTTGATCATTTGTCACCCTCCTCTGGACACATTCCAGCTTGTCAATATCTCTCTTCAATTGTGGTGCCCAGAATTGGACACAATATTCCAGGTGTGGTCTAACCAAGGCAGAAAAGAGGGGTAGAATGACTTCCCTGGATCTACACTAGATTCCTATTGATGTAGGCCAACATCCCATTGGCTTTTTTTTTGCCACAGCATCACATTGTTGGCTCATGTTTAACTTGTTGTCCACGTGGACTCCGAGATCTGCTCATTCTCATTGTCCTTCTCATTCTGTTGTCTTCTTCCACTTCCATGCATTGCTTGTTTAAAAATAGTTCCTTATCTCTTCTGGCTGACTTCTGGAATTGTACATTTAATTGGGCATATTTCCCCCTATCGCTGTTTCCTTTTGTTTTCCTTCTTTCTTGGGCTACTTCCAGTGTCTCAGCAGACAACCTTCTTGCCTTCTTGATTTTCTTTTTCTTTGGGACGTACTTTGTTGCCGCCTCCTGAACAATGTTGTGAACTTCTGTTCCATTACTTGCTTTGCATTACTCCAGTCCAACCCCATTCTGCCAAGAAGCAGGAATATTGCATTCAAATCACCCTTGACAGATGGCCATCCAGCCTCTGTTTAAAAGCTTCCAAAGAAGGAGCCTCCACCACACTCCGGGGCAGAGAGTTCCACTGCTGAACGGCTCTCACAGTCAGGAAGTTCTTCCTCATGTTCAGATGGAATCTCCTCTCTTGTAGTTTGAAGCCATTGTTCCATTGTGTCCTAGTCTCCAGGGAAGCAGAAAACAAGCTTGCTCCCTCCTCCCTGTGACTTCCTCTCATATATTTGTACATGAATATCATATCTCCTCTCAGCCTTCTCTTCTTCAGGCTAAACATGCCCAGCTCCTTAAGCCGCTCCTCATAGGGCTTGTTCTCCAGACCCTTGATCATTTGAGTCGCCCTCCTCTGGACACATTCCAGCTTGTCAATATCTCTCTTGAATTGTGGTGCCCAGAATTGGACACAATATTCCAGGTGTG